TTCCCACGGAGCCCGCCGGGTCCTAGCCCCCCTGCGGAACCATCCGAAAAAACCGCGGTTTCTCTATCCGTCCCTTCCCCGCCGGTCGCCCATCCAGCACAAGAGGCAGAGCAGCGCGCGCGATGCTTCTGGCAGAGACCCGCGGAGAAGGCGTGGAACGCGGCCGGATTGTCGGGCCCCATAGGGATCGGTAAAAACTCGCCCCCGCCATGTGCGTTTAAAAATGGCGCCGAACCACATGGCGAGGGCGGAAGGGAGGAGGAGAAGGGCGGAAATGCAGTCAGCCTGCTTAACAACGTATGCGCGGGCGAGCGGGAAGGGGGGGCGGTCCCCGCGGTAGAGTGCAAAACCAACCAGAGCGCTCTATTCAAATTAGGTCCTTATAGGGCAAGGACCTCCCCCGGCAGGAGGCAGGGGGACCCCAGGGGGAGGGAGCGGCACCACCCCCAAAGGGAGGAGCGGGGTCGGAGCTGCACAAAACGGCACAGAGCGCCGGAAGTGTACCGGCAGTCAGCTTCCGCCTCAGAGTCAAGTAACATCTGCTCAGACAGCTCCGAAGAGCCGACCGAGCCCGGCTGGGACTCGGAAACCGAGAGAGCAGAATCAATGCGGTTTCGAGCGAAACCGAATAAAGCTTCAAACAATATCGGGAAACAATCACAACACAAACTCACCGACTGGGGAAAAATAAAAGCAGCCTGTGGGGACCGGGCACCGGCAGCCTCCATGCACGCTTTCCTGGGGGGTGTTGCCTGAGCACAGGGGAACCAACAAAGGGCATATACCCCAGTTAACCCAAAAGAAGCCAAAGCGGTTTCAGAAATAGGGATCAACTCAGCTGTAGTACCCACTCTTGAGGACGACCTTTCTAGCAATAACGATCTGCTCACTTTTGATATTACGCAAATAAGCCGCATGCTTTTTGACGGGGCGGGGCGGATAATATTTAAGCAGGAATGGCAGGACGACTGCGTTAGCCCAGGCTTCTGGAGAAGGGCAGCAACTCAGCGAGCTGTCCCCAGCCGGCACAGCTTTCCCTGGCAGCACCCTCACTCCAAGCATCCCAGCCCTGGGGAAACGGGAGAGGGAGGGGGCGCGCGGGCCACACTCAGCCTCCTCCCGCTGCAAATGCGAGACGGCCCTGCTACAGCAACCCCCAGTGGGGCAGGGGATCCTCATACCCCATGTCCCCACAGGGAGCAGTCAACTTTGCAAAATTCTCCACCCCTGTTAGGAAGGGACGTCCTTTCCATGCTCGGATTTCGGATCACAAATTTACCATGAGGGCCACTGCCGTACACCCTCCGCTGCCAATCAAATTGACTTGGAAATCATCAGACCCTGTATGGGTTGAGCAGAGGCCCCTGACAGAGCCTCGAGCGGCAGCCTTGCTGGAACTGGTCGATCGAGAACTGCAAAAGGGTCACATAGAACCCTCCACCGGCCTATGGAACACCCCTGTATTTGTGGTCCCCAAAAGGTCCGGACAAGGCTATCGTCTTGTCCACGACCTGAGAGAAGTGAACAAGACTATCAGACCCATGGGTCCAGTCCAGACACTGCTTCCCGCGAACTCAGCCATCCCCGCAGGGCAGCCATGCGCAGTACTGGACATCAGGGACTGCTTCTTTTCAATACCCCTGCGCCCTGAGGACAGAGAGCGATTCGCCTTTTCCGTGGCACTTCGGAACGGCGAGCAGCCTAACCTTCGCTTCCAATGGAGAGTGCTTCCACAAGGCCTGGTCGACAGCCCGACCATATGCCAAATCACCGTGGACAAAGCACTGATGCTAGTCTGACACTCCTATCCCACCGCAACCATCATCCAGTATATGGACGACATCCTGGTCGCAGCACCATCGACAAGCCAAGTGGATCACCTGGTGACCACAGTCACGGAGACCCTTCAGGCCAACGGCTTCGAGATCGCGAGCGCAAAGATCAAGAGAGGACCCTGCATGACCTTCCTGGGAGTAGGTATCACAGGCTCCTACGTGACACCCCCTGAGATGAAGGTCAACCGAGACACCGAGACGCTCCACGACGTGCAACGCCTGGTAGGATCGCTGCAGTGGCTTCACAACATCGTCCAGATTCCTCCCGAGGTCATGGACCCTCTATACGACCTCCTGAAAGGAAAGAACCCCTGGGATCCCAAGGAGTTGACACCGCAAGCAACGAGCTCCCTCGACTTCATCGAAAACCAGATGTCCACTGGCACACTTGCCAGGTGGAACCCAGCCATGCCACTGGACCTGTACGTCCACTTTACACCGAAGGGGGGAGTGGGAGCGCTGGCCCAAGGATTTGCAGAAAAGGCCCGACCGATCCAATGGGTGGTCCTCGGAAGACCCGCTCGTGCATTTTCCCCAGCAATCGAGTGCATCGCCAGCCTCATCATGAAAGGCAGGAGACTCGCCTTGAAACACCTAGGGACAGAGCCGACAAGCATCCACCTTCCGTTTCGCAAGCAGCCGACCACAGAGTCAGCCGCAATATCGGAGCACCTGGCCCTTGCTCTCTCCGGCTTCAGAGGAGAAATCTCCTACTCCTCCAGACCACCCTGGACTCAGCTGCTGACCGTAGTCGACATGGACACGCCACCGAAGGTCAAGGACAGACCGCAGCCGGGACCAACGGTCTTCACAGACGCTTCCTCCACAACTTCAACCGCAGCAGCAGTGTGGCAGGCAGGAGAGCAATGGCACTGCGTCAAAGCGTGTGACTCCACGCTGTCAGTGCAACAGCTGGAGGCAGCAGAAATGGTTTTGGCGTGCGGGCTCTTCCAAGACGAACACCTCAACATCGTAACGGACTCTATATTCGTGGCAAGGCTCTGCCTAGCCATGGCAGGACCAGGAATGTCAACATCAGCAGCAGCCCTAATGCTGGAAGAAGCACTCTCCTCGCGACAGGGCACCGTGTCAGTCATCCACGTCAACAGCCATGACCCAGTCAAGGGTTACTTCCAGATCGGCAACGACAAAGCGGACGCCGAAGCAAAAGGCGCTGGGACCTTGCAAAGAGCTCGTCAACTGCACGAGTCGCTCCACATCGGAGTCAAAGCACTGGCGAAGAGATGCAAAATTTCAACAGCGGATGCAAAACATGTGGTAGCCACCTGCCCTCATTGCCAGAAGTCACCCCTTTGGACCTACGGAGTCAACCCGAGAGGTCTCAAGCCCTCAGAAATCTGGCAGTCAGATTTCACCTGGAGTCAACTGCTGAAGCCCCGAGCATGGCTAGCAGTGACAGTGGACACTTATAGCGGAACGACCATAGCTACACAGCACCCCAAAACTAACTCCAAAACCACAATTCAGCACTGGCTGACAGCCATGGCTTGGCTTGGTATCCCCAAGCAGATCAAAACGGACAACGGCTCCAATTTCACCTCCAAACAAGTACAGGAATTCGCCTCGAAATGGGGCATCACGTTAGTGCAAGGCGTCCCATATAACAGTACCGGACAGGCCACAGTTGAGAGAGCAAACCAGACCCTGAAAACCAAGATAGAAGTGTTGGCAAAAGCAGAAGGCTTTGCCAATGCCATTCCCCCAGGAGATCAGGCACGTATGCTGGCAACCGCTTTGCTGGCACTGAATCAATTCCCTAGGGGAGATGAAACAAACAGTCCCATCCAAAAACACTGGGCCACTCAAACGCTAGAAGAGGGCCCACAGGTGGTAATCAGAAACGAGCTAGGCGAGTGAGAACGAGGTTGGAGGCTGATGCTCACGGGGTGAGGGTACGCAGCAGTCAAAAAGGACGGCAAAATCAGGTGGTGTCTACTTAAGTCGATTAAACCGGACCTTCATAGCGAGCAGAATGAGACTGACGAGAATTGCAAGCATTTGTTTACAGGACCTGCTCATGAGACGTCCTCGTGACGCGCACATCCCGGTTCCAGATGAAAGAGACAGACCACCAAGCCGCCAGGCAGCACCCGAGAGACCCGCACGGGTGAGACCCAAGCACCAAGGGTTTCTGTGGGATTTTGCTGTTGGGGCTTGTTGCCAGGGAGCAAGCCAGCCCAGACCACTACCCCCATCGGCCCTTCAGGTGCGTCATGCGACACCTTAGTACGGGCAAAGTACTCAGAGAAATCGCCACACCGTGCTCCGCATCACCGACCGGTTTCCAGGACAGCCAAAGGTACACCCCTATTCCCCACACGTCACACACTCGTACCTATCCTACTGGTGCCCAGCCTCAAACCCTGGGAAAAGCTACTGCAATCAACCAGGGTGGGGATATTGTGGGCACTGGGGCTGCGAAACCATAGTTACAGATGCCAGACCATCAGGGCCTGGGTGGGATCCACAAGAGCCAGACAAATTCTTACAATTCACCTGGGCACCCATCGGCTGCAGAATACCCTTCTTCTCTCACGGAAACTTCCATCGAAACCAACATAAAATCCCTAGATTTCGGGCATGCACTGACTACAACATGACGGTCTTGTAGCCAGATCACCCTAGCTGGGCCACAGGCAAAACGTGGACAGCGGTCCTTCAAGGGTCAAAAGAGAGGGCGAACGTGCAAATTATCAGGCTCCAACTGTCAGCACCCCGAGCGGTCGGACCCAACAAAGCGACTAAAAGCGTACCGAAAGGTAGAAATGTAACCTACCCCAAAACCTTACCCACAGGGGTCAGCAAAGTCCCGAACGGTCAAGCGGAAACCTTTCAGATGAGCCGCTTAACTGAGTCAGACTCAGACCCAATCCTTCGTATGTTAGAAGCTACCTTTGTAGCCCTGAACGAATCCAACCCTAACCTAACCGAATCCTGCTGGCTTTGTTACGATGTCAAACCCCCCTTTTACGAAGGAGTCGCTCTAAACACTCCCTTCAGTTACTCCACAGCCAATGCCCCTCACCAGTGCAGATGGGATACCCCTCGCAAAGGAATCACCCCGAGTCAAGTCACAGGCCGAGGCAGATGCTTTGGCAATGCAACCCTAGCTAGGCGGAGGAGCAACGTCTGCACTAAAATCGTCTAGCCTAACAGGAAAAACAATAAGAGGGCAGTCCCATCCGCATCTGGGAGGTGGGTTTGCCAGCGATCCGGAGTGAGTCCTTGTGTGTTCCTTCCCAAATTCAATGACTCTAACGACTTCTGTGTCCAAGTTCTGATTGTTCCTAGGGTCCTGTACCACTCAGACGAAGAAATGTACCATCTTCTTGAGGGACCCAGCCGGATCCACAAAAGAGAAATATTGACAGGTTTCTAACAGTCGCCTTCGGACCATGCCTGCTGAACAAGCTGGTCTCGTTCGTTCAGAGCCGCCTGGAACGGACCAACATTCGGTTCTTAGGCCAACGACAATTGCAGAGAATTCAACCAGGGAATTCAACCAGGGAACACAGCCAGTCACAAGACTTTCCGAACTTGTCTGGCAAAAGCTTACTCAGGTTTCCCAAGACCCCTTTCCCTTGTCGAACTTCAACCTTATACCTCACTTCAGTACCTATGTATATGACTACCTCATTCATTTGTGAAAAAGGCGGGGGAGATGTGGTAGATAGGGAAAGGCGCTGCGGAAGATCTCGCGATGTCACGGAAAGGCAGGACCCTGTGTTCCCCTTAGATAAGACGATCTGCTTCCCGTAGATAAGAAACTAACATAGGAAGGTAGCCTCCCTCAACCAAATACCAGTAATTTTCCATCCCCTACCCAGTAACTGTCCACCCCTTACTAACCATAGACGGTAAAGACAGACCCACACTGATGTAGAGACCCCTTAGACTATAAAAACCCAAGAGAGGAGATAATAAAGGCCTTTTGACCGTCCATCATATTGATGCCTGCGTGTGTCATTGGCCCAAGCGGCCCTGGAGAGTTTGGGCCGCCGTGCTGTTCCTCTGAACCAGGTCGCCTGCCTTGCTCCAGAAGGCAAAAATCCCCATCTGCCCTTTGTTCCGCAGGGCTCCAGGCGGCCGTGACCCTGCTGGAGTGCAGGGGGGACCTCGAGCCCCCCGGGGGGTCCCTGCGCCTCCTCTGGCGAGGGTCCGGTTTCGGTTTTGGAAATTTTGGGATGGGCTGGCATCGCCAGAGGCCTGGTCAGGGGCTGGAAGCAGTAGCAAGTATCAGCAGCAGTGGCAGTGCCTACTACATGCAATCAGTCAAGGGCCGGGTCACGATCTCCAGGGACAACGGGCATAGCTCGCTGACGCTGACCATGAACAACCTCAAGGACGAGGATTCTGCCACCTATTTCTCTGCCAAATCTTACAATACTGGTAGCGCTTATGCTGCTGCTTATATTGACCATTCCGGTGGTGGCACCACCCCATCAGAGCCCCTCTTGTCCCCAATCCCAGACCCTTCCCCCAAACCTCAGCCCTTGACCCTTTGTCCCAAATCTCCCCCATTTGCCCCAATGGTAAGCACTGACCCCAAACCCTCCCCTGCTCCTGCCCCAGAACTCAACCATTGGCCCCAAACATTCAAACACGTCCCCCAGTTCAGGCCTTGCTCTCCAAGAGTTCCCATTTTTGACTGTGCCCATCAATAAATCAGAGTTCAGGGAGATGGGGAAGATTTGAGTGAAATGGGCAAAACTGGGGAAACTCCAGGGCTGCGGCAACAGGGGCAGAGTCTGGGGGAATACAGCCAAGATTTGAGGAGAAGGGCTGGGATTTTGGGGAAGAATCTGTGGCAATTGGAGACATTTGGTGACCATCAAGGGCATGGGATCGCTGAGAGCATCATCAATAAAAACATAACTAGCGCCGCAATATTTGTGACGTCTGGCACAGAAATAGGATCCGGAATCCTCGTCCTTGAGGTTTTTCATGGTCAGCGTCACCGAGTTCTGCCCGTTGTCCCTGGAGATCGTGAACTGACCTTTGACCGATGGCGCGTAGCCAATGTTGCCACCGTTGTTGCTGATCCCTGCCATGAATTCCAGCCCCTTCCCAGGTCTTTGACGCATCCAGCCCATGTTGAAATTCCCAAAATCGAACCCAGACCCTCGGCACAGCAACGTCAGGGACCCCCCGGGGGGCTGGAGGTCCCCCCCGCACTCCAGCAGGGTCACGGACACTCGGAGCCCTGCAGGAAAAAGGGGAGATGGGGAGGAGGAGCTGGATTGGCTGCGGACCCAAAGTGGGCACCGCCATGCCAGAAGTGTGTGGGTTCCACCTGGGAGGATTGGCAGGTGCTGCAGGAGGAGGATGGTGAACTCCAAGGGTCCCAATTTGAGGCCAGCATCCGGATCTGCATGCAAGATTTAATATTTGGGTTGATTTTGTTCCCCACCCCCATCTCCCCTTTGTCCCGCAGGGCTCTGGGCAGCCGTGACCCTGCTGGAGTGCGGGAGGGACCTCCAGCCCCCCGGGGGGTCCCTGACATTGCTGTGCCAAACATCTGGCTTCAATTTCACAAAATCTGCAATGTTCTGGATCTGCCAGAGACCCGGGCAGGGGCTGGAATTCGTCGCAGAGATCTGGAGCAGCGGTGCCACCTACTACGCGCCGTCGGTCATGGGCCGGTTCACGATCTCCAGGGACAACGGGCAGAGCTCGGTGACGCTGACCATGAACAACCTCATGGACGAGGATTCCGGATTCTATTTCTGTGCCAAAAGTTGGGATGATTGTTGCGGCCCTGCTGCTGGTAAAGACATTGATTGTGATGATGTTGGTCACGGTGGTTTTTTCTGAGTCCTCAATTTTGAGTTCCATCCTCTCCCAAAACCAGACCCTTCCCCCAAACCTCAGCCCTTTACCCTTTGTCCCAAATCTCCCCCATTTGCCTAAATGGTCAGCACTGACCCCAAAACCCTCCCCTGCTCGTGCCCCAAAACTCAAACATTGGCCCCAAACATTCACCCTTGGCCTCCAGTTCAGGCCTCCTCCAATCATGGCCTGGGGAGCTGGGGGAGATTTGGGTGAAATGGAAAAAATTGGGAAGACAATCGAGACTAGGGGAAGGATGGGGCAAAGTTTGGGGGAAAATGGTGAACATTTGACACAAAGGGCTGGGATGCCCGGGAAGGATGGCTGGGCATTGGAGACATTTTTTGACCAACATGGGGGTGGACCGCTGACAGAATTGTCGACAATAAGAGCAGGACCAGAAAAACCATACTCATTATTGCTACGTTTGGTGCAGAAATAAACGGCGGAATCCTCGTCCATGAGGTTGTTCATGGTCAGCATGACCGAGCTCTGCCCGTTGTCCCTGGAGATGGTGAACTGACCATTGATTGATGGCGCGTGGTGGGTGGTGCCAACACCATTGATACTTGTGAGGTATTCCAGTGTCTTCCCAGATTTCTGGCGAATCCAGAACATTCCATAATATCCGAAATCGAACCCGGCCCCTCGGCAGAGGAGGCGCAGGGACCCCCTGGGGGGCTGGAGGTCCCCCCCACACTCCAGCAGGGTCACAGCCACCTGGAGCCCTGCGGGACAAAGGGGAGATGGGTATGAGGCCAAAGCTCAACCTTTGACCCAAATCCTGACCCTTGGCCCCAAACTGGGATCTTTAGAGTTCATCATCCTCCTCCCAGGTGGATTCCACCCCTTTGTCCAGCTGGCCACACAAACTTAGGGGCCCTTGACCAATCAGGTTTCTCATTTCCATCATCTCCCCTTTTTCCCGTGGGACTCTGGGCGGCCGTGACCCTGCTGGAGTGCGGGGGGGACCTCCAGCCCCCCAGGGGGTCCCTGCGCCTCCTCTGCCGAGGGGCCGGGTTCTGTTTTGGCAGTTTTGAAATGGAATGGGCTCGACAGAGGCCCAGGCAGGGGTTGCAGTGGGTCGCAGGGATCAGGTATGATGGTTCTTACTATGGTTCTTACCTACTATGCGCCATCATTCAAGGGCCGGTTCACGATCTCCAGGGACAACGGGCAGAGCTCGGTGACGCTGACCATGAACAACCTCAAGGACGAGGATTCCGCCACTTATTTCTGTGCCAAACGTGCTTATGGTGATAATTGGGCTTATGCTGATGCTTATCATTTTGTCCTCGTCCCCGTGCCCTTGCTCCCCTCCTGTCCCCATTCCCCAGGCCCTTCCCACAAACCCCAAGCCCTGACCCCATTGCTGTCCCCTTGTCCCAACCCTGATAAGACCCAGATGTCTGATTTGTGCTGATCCCCGAGCCATGCTGGCCAATCTGGATAAATCTTGGAGACAGAGAGCCCCAACAGCCAATCAGCTCAGAGATGCCACTATCTCAGCAAGCTCCGTGACTTCAGCTCTTTAGTGATTCTCAGCTCTCAGGATTCCAGCTCTTTTATTGATTATAGCTCTCAGGGTTTCAACTCGTAAGGGATTCTCAGCTCTCAGGATTCCAACTCTTTGCTCACTCTGTGGGGCGCCTTTGGCTGGGGCAGAAACAGACAGACAGAAAGGAGCAGGAGAGGTCCTGGTGGTTCCACAGCCATGGTTCATTGAGGGATCTGTGAGGGGTTCCAGCGACAGCTCTTCTCCAGTCAGATGGGATAAACCAGCCCCTTTTTATAGGGTACAGGGGGATCCAAACGTGCCCAACAGTGAGGGTCAGGGAGAAGTCACCAATGGGGTTACAGAGATAAGCTCTGGTGTGAGAGGCAGAAGACAGGAGATCATTTTGCTGTCCCATCATTACTGAGCAGTTCCAGCTGTTACGTCTCAATCCTGCATGGAGCTCGCGCAATCTCTGTGGACTCTGCTAAAGGACATGAGGTCAACACGATAGGCAACAGTCTCCCAGCCAGTACCATCATCAACACATTAGGCGCAGAAATAGGATCCGGAATCCCCGTCCTTGAGGTTGTTCACGGTCAGCGTCACCGAGCTCTGCCCGTTGTCCCTGGATATCGTGACCCAGTCCTTGAAAGACGACGTGTAGGCGGTGGTGCCACCACTGGTGATCCCCGCCAGCCACTCCAGCGCCTGTCGGGGTCTCTGGCGGATCCAGTACATGGTGAAACTGCCGAAACTGAACCCAGACTCTCGGCAGAGGAGGCGCAGGGACCCTCCGTGGGGGTGGAGTTTCCCCCCGCACTCCAGTAGGGTCACGGCCGCTCCCCCATCCCCAAACCTTCAGTGGTTTTGCCACCAATTCCCTTTGTTTGTCCCCAGACATCCAACAGTGGTGTCCTGAATGGTAAAGTGCCTTCACCCCTGCAATTAGCCCCAGTGCACCCATTAATTATTCTGACAGCTCTGCCTGACTTTTGCACTTGCTCACCCCCATCTCCCCTTTGTCCCGCAGGGCTCCGGGCGGCCGTGACCCTGCTGGAGTGCGGGAGGGAACTCCAGCTCCCCGGGGGGTCCCTGCGCCTCCTCTGCCGAGGGTCCGGGTTCAGTTTCGGGGGTCACTCCATGCAATGGATCCGCCAGAGCCCTGGCAGGGCCTGGAATGGCTCGCGGGGATCCACAGCTCTGGGGGTTTCACCTACTATGCGCTGTCGGTCAAGGGCCGGGTCAGGATCTCCAGGGACAATGGGCAGAGCTTCACAGCCCTGACCATGATCGATCTGCAGGATGAGGATTCCGGATCCTATTTCTGTGCCAAAGCTGCTGGGGCTGTTGGGGATGACCATGGTGCCAATGCTATTGACTCCACCCCCATCGCTGTGTCCCCAAATGTCCCCAAACCCCAGACCCTCCCCCCAATCCCAGCGCTCGTCCCCACTCTCGGTGACTGAATTCATGTCCCCAGCCCCGGGCCCAGCGCTAAGCTTTGGGGCAGAGTTTGGGGGAAGATCAATGGCCAAGGGTTGGGGTTTGGGGCCAGAGAGGGGAAAGGGAAATGGAGAAATGGTCATGGGCTGGGTCGGGGGCTGGGAGCTGGGAAAGGTCTGGGGAATAGGGACAGGGGGGGACGCAGCAATGGGGATGGGGTCAATACAGCAGGCATCGTTATCACCAGCATAAGCAGCAAAACCCTTGGCGCAGAAACAGGATCCGCAATCCTCGTCCTTGAGGTTGTTCATGGTCAGCGTCACCGGGCTCTGCCCGTTGTCCCTGGAGATCCTGAACCGACCCTGCACTGATGGTGCGTAGTCGGTGCTGCCACTGCTGTGGATACTCGCGAGCCACTCCAGCCCCTAACCTGGTCTCTGCCGATACCAGCCCATCCCAAAATTCCCAAAACTGAACCTGGACCCTCGGCAGAGGAGGCGCAGGGACTCCCCGGGGGGCTGGAGGTGCCCCCCGCACTCCAGCAGGGTCACGGCCGCTCCCCCATCCCCAAACCTTCACTGGTTTTGCCCCAGAAACCTTTTTTCTTGCCTCAAATTTCTAGCAGAGCTTTCCTGTATTGAAAAGTTCCTTAAACCCTGCAATGAGCCCCAATCAACCCATTAATTAATTGGACACCTCAGCCTGAGTTTTGCATCGCCCCATCCCCAACTCCACTTTGTCCCGCAGGGCTCCGGGCAGCCGTGACCCTGCTGGAGTGGAGGGGAGACCTCCAGCCCCCCGGGGGGTCCCTGCACCTCCTCTGCCGAGGGTCCGGGTTGCGTTTCGGGAGTTTTGGATTCAGTTGGTTTCGCCAGGGACCCAGGCAGACTCTGGAGTGGCTCACAGGGATCACCAGCAGTGGCAACACCTACTACAATCCATCCTTCAAGGGCTGGTTCAGGATCTCCAGGGACAACGGGCAGAGCTCGGTGACACTGACCATGAACAACCTCAAGGACGAGGATTGCACCATTTATTTTTGCGGAAAATCTGCTGGTACTGGTGATGGTGGTGCTGCTGCTAATTGGGGTCATGATGATGGTTGTGCCCTCATCTCCATATCCCATCCTGTCCCCGTTCCCCAGACCCTTCCCCCAAACCCCCTGCCCACACCCAGCCCTTGACCATTGATCCCAACCTTGCTCTGCCTCGGCCCCAATTCTCACCTGCTCACCCCAAACCACAACTCCTGACCCCAAATCTCCTCTTTGTGCCCAAAAACTTTGCTCGGAAGGTCGGGGTTTGAGGCCCAGGGTCCCGATTTGGGGACAAAGTTTGAGGATTCTTTTCAGCAGCTGCTGCTGCAGGGAGCACAAGTGGGGATTTGGGGCAAAATCGGGCGACTTTGGGGGCCAAAGCAGTTGGGTTTGGGACAGACCTAATCAGGGGGTTTGGCTCTGTGGTTGGTGGTGGTGGAAATGGGGGAGATCTGGGACAAAGGGTCAAGAATGGATCAAGTGCTGAGATTTGGGGGAATGGTCAGGGAATTGGGGACAGGAGGGGACACTGAGATGGGGAGGGATCCAACATGGGGGCCTTTAGCAGAAGCACCAGGACTCCAATTATCAGCATAAGCACGTTTGGCGCAGAAATAGGATCCGGAATCCTCGTCCTTGAGGTTGTTCATGGTCAGCGTCACCGAGCTCTGCCCGTTATCCCTGGAGATCGTGAACCGGCCCTTGACCAATGGTGCGTAGTAGGGGCTGCCACCTCTGGAGATACTTGCAACCAATGCAGCCCCTGCCAAGGTCTCTGGCGGATCCAGCCCATCCCAAAACTGCCAAAATCGAACCCGGACCCTCGGCAGAGGAGGCACAGGGACCCCCTGGGGGGCTGGAGGTCCCCCCCGCACTCCAGCAGGGTCACGGCCGCCCGGAGCCCATCCCCAAACCTTCACCAATTTCTCTCATAACTCCCCTTGTTTAGCCCCAAAACCCCACCAGAGTTTTCCATATCTCAACATGCCTGAAAACTGCAATAAACTCCAATCAATTCTTTAATTAATTAGAAACCTCATCCTGAGCATTCTGCATTGATTACACAGTTAATACACTGTTAACGACCCCCAATTCACCCCGGGGCCCCAACCCGGGCACATCCCGGCCACGGCCTCGAGCTCCCTCCGCCTCCTGGCCCTGGGGATCCTGCTGCTGCTTCTATGTGGGCCCCACCCCTTTTTTCAACAAGCCACGCCCCTTCTCCCCTGCTTGCTCAATCAGGCGCCCCATCCCCATCTCCCCTTTTTCCCGCAGGGCTCCGGGCGGCCGTGACCCTGCTGGAGTGCGGGGGCACATCCAGCCCCCTGGGGGCTACCTTCACCTCCTCTGCCGAGGGTCCGGGTTCAGTTTTGGGGATTATGGAATGAACTGGATCCACCAGAGACCCGGGCAGGCTTTGGAATACATCGCAGGCATCTACTACAATAGTGCCTACACCTTCTACGCGCCGTCGGTCAGGGGCCGGTTCACGATCTCCAGGGACAACGGGCAGAGCTCGGTGACGCTGACCATGAACAACCTCACGGACGAGGGTTCCACCGTTTTTTTCTGCGCCAAGTGTGCTGCTAATAATTACCCTGAAAGTGCTGGTCATAGTGACGATTCCCATGGTGTCCCCACCCCCATCCCCGTTTCCCCCTCCTGTCCCCGTTCCCCAGACCCTTCCCCCAAACCCCCTGCGCACATCCAGCCCTTGGCCATTGATCCCAACCTTGCTCTGCCTCGGCCCCAATTCTCACCTGCTGACCCCAAACCACAACTCCTGACCCCAAATCTCCTCTTTGTTCCCAAATTTTGCTCAAAGGGTTGGGTTTTGGGCCCAGGGTCTCAATTTGGGGACAAAGGTTGAGGATTCTTGTCAGCGGCTGCTGCTGCAGGGAGCACAAGTAGGGATTTGGGGCAGATTCAGGCGATTTCTGGTGCCAACTTATTTGGATTTGGGGCAGAACCAGTTCGCGGGTTTCGGCTCTGTGGTTGGTGGTGTTGGAAATGGGGGAGATCTGGGACAAAGGGTCAAGAATGGGGTCAAGGGCTGAGATTTGGAGGAAGGGTCTGAGATTTGGGAAGAGGAGGGGCTCTGAAATGGTGATGCCACCACCGGCATGGTCAGTATAGGCAGCAGCAGCAGCAGGGCTACCAGTGCCGTAAGATTTGGCACAGAAATAGGTGGCGGAATCCTCGTCCTTGAGGTTGTTCATGGTCAGCATCACCGAGCTCTGCCTGTTGTCCCTGGAGATCGTGAACCGGCCCTTGACCGATGGCGCGTACTCGGTCCCACCAGCATTGTTGGTGATCCCCGCGACCCATTCCAGCCTCTGCCCTGGTCTCTGGCGGACCCAGTTCATCTCATAACTGCCAAAACTGAACCTGGCCCCTAGGCAGAGGAGGCGCAGGGACCCCCCAGGGGGCTGGAGGTCCCCCCCGCGCTCCAGCACCTTCACGGCTGCCCGGAGCCCATCCCCAAACCTTCACTCTGGTTGTTTGGTCCCCAATCTCTACCAGAGATGTCGGAGGAAGGAGACCCAGACACCAATTGGTTCATCCAAATCCAATTTATTGATGGAATATGGCGGGTTAAATACAGTTCTTAATAAGCTTCATACATATTGCAAAAGTTGAGCTCAGGATTGGTTAGTTACATATCAGCAACTACACCTACTTCTGCATTCTTGTGCTTATTCTTTTGTTACATTCTGCAGATATTCAGGACTAATCTCACCTCCCTTTCCTCATGTTGCAGCAAGGTCATCCGGCATTCTTGCCTGTCAGCAGTCACTGAATCAGAGACTGCTGACCTCCCTTTCAAGCTTAACCAGCGGCATTATGTCAGGATGGCCTTTCTCACTTAACCAGCTATTAACCAACCTCTCCACATTTCCCCCGTTTTCTTCTTGAGCAAGGAGATTAGTTTGCCAGGTTTTTGCTATCATACGGCTAACCATGCTTTGAATATAATTAAAGACACAAGGTAAAATAAGCAAAAACATTAAGATCACACCCAGTAAGCCGATAGCATATGTCACAATGTTCCTTAGCCATGGTCCAAGCCCTAAGCTTTTAAGCCATTTGTCAATTCCTAAACCTTCTTCTTCTTTAAGATGGTGAAGTCCCTGTTGCAGTTCTTTTATCTTAGTGTGAATGCACACCGAATGATCAAATTCATGCGACACATTCCCTCAAACTCTTCACATCCATGCCCATGTGCTAAGAGCAAAAAATCTACAGCAGCTCTATTTTGTAAAACAGTATGGTTAACACTCTGCACATCTGCAGTTAACATGTCCAGAATTTGGGATGTCTTGTTTAGCTCATTTCTTGTCCAGCACCCTAATTGCTTTGCTAAATTCATAGCCTTATTGGCAGATCCTCCTGGCAAGACAGTTGAAACTACTACTTGTCTGAATGTACCCCAAAACTGTGGATCTCCTATCTGGCTGTAGTCCAAGTCATGTATGCTACGTCTCTTCCTGTGTGAATTTTGACTCAGTTGCATTAGTAAGGACACATTAGGGTGGAACAATGACAATTTTCCCAAATAACAGGGTCCGCCCTGTGGTTTAGCTGGTACACCATTCCACGCCCTGTCTCCACAAATGAAAAATATTCCTTCGACAGTGTACCGTATTCCCTACCATGCACCAGCTGCAGGCAAAGTGGAGAGGTACAACGGACTGCTAAAAACCCGGCTGAAAGCTTTGGGTGGGGGATCTTTCAAAAATTGGGAGCAGCATTTGGCAAAAGCCACCTGGTTAGTCAACACCTGAGGTTCCACCAACCGAGCAGGTCCTGACCAGTCTGATTCCCTGAATGTAATAGAAGGAGACAAAGTCCCAGTTGTCCCTTCCTCGGCTGTTTTATGACCTGGAAAGTCTCAGAGATGGCCTTGGGCAGCCCGTGCTTCAAAGGACGAGAAGAGGCTTCAGGTCTTTCTCGGACTTCAGTGTTTATTGGTTGTTTATTTAAAAGATTTTTCTCTCTGCCCGACAGAGGTCCGCACAGCAAGCCAGCCACGTGCACACTGCGAGCCCCCGGGACGGTCACATATCTTTATACTCAAAATTACTCAAATCCTCCCATTCTCATACAGGTGCACACTACTCTAATTAACTTATCCCTTCACCATTTATCCCCGTGAAATCCTCCCATCCTCATACAGGTGCACACTACTCTAATTAACTTATCCCTTCACCATTTATCCTCGTGAAATCCTCCCATCCTCATACAGGTGCACACTGCGAGCCCCCGGGGCGGTCACTTATCTTTACACTCAAAATTACGTATACAATATTTACCTATTCTTTCCAATACCTTTCACCCTTATTGACCGGTGCACTTTTAGCAAGAACCAATCCCAAAGTGCCACCGCCACCACAGAAGATGGAGGCCAAGAAGAAGAAGAAGAAGAAGAAGGACAGGACACGCCCCAATTCCTCCATCTTACTTCTCCAGACCCCCCTGTACCGAAATCCTAAACCCTGTGTTTTACACTCTAATTAACTCATCCCTTCACCATTTACCCCGGTGAAATCCTCCCGTCCTCACACAGGCGTCGTCTCCCGTGCAGGATCAAAGTCCAGCCACCAGACACTTCTGGCGACATTCCAGGACCCCCGAGCCCCCCAAGGGTGGTCTCGGTCACTCTGCACCTCAGTCCTGAGGGGCTGAAATCCCACACCAGTGGTACATAGCAGAGGTTTTTTAGGGAAGACAGTTTGGATCAATCCTGCCTCAAATACACACAAACCCATTCGTGGGGTTGTTTTTGCTCAGCAAACCGGTTGCACGTGGTGGGTAATGCAAAAAGATGGAAGGACACGGTGTTGTTGTTCAGGGAGATCTGATTGTGGGGTGAGAATGATTTGGAAATGTCACCGTTCGTTGGGTGTTGCTGCCGTTGTCTGTACATCAAACGACACAGACATGAGATAGAGGGAAATGTGTAAGGGGGATTTGATGGGGATTCCAGGCATTTTGGGGTGAAATTCGCGGGTTTTGGGGGGATTTGGGGCATTTTGGGGAATTTGGTGATTTTGGGGGGAATTTTAGCGAATTTTGGGGGGGATTTGGGATTTTTTGGGGGGAATTTTGGGGGGGGTTTTAGCGAATTTTGGGGGGGAATTGGGATTTTTCAAGGAGGATTTGGGGGGGTTTTGGGGAGAAATTTGGGGGAATTTGGTGATTTTGGGGGGGATTTTAGTGAATTTTGGGGAGGGATTTGGGATTTTTTGAGGGGAATTTTGGGAGGGATTTTAGGGGGAAATTTGGGGGAATTTGGTGATTTTGGGGGGGGGTTTAGCGAATTTTAGGAGGGGATTTGGGATTTTTCGGGGGGGATTTTGGGGGGGATTTTGGGGGAATTTGGGGGAATTTGATGATTTTTGGGGGGATTTTAGCGAATTTTGGGGGGGGGAATTGGGATTTTTCTGGGGGAAATTTTGGGGGGGTTTTGGGGAAATTTGTGGGAATTTGGTGATTTTGGGGGGGATTTTAGCAAATTGTGGGGGGCAATTGGGATTTTTCGGGGGGAATTTGGGGAGATTTTGGGGGAATTTGGGGGAATTTGGTGATTTTGGGGGGGATTTTAGTGAATTTTGGGGGCGGATTTGGGATTTTCCCCAATTTTTTGGGGGGGAAATTTGGGGGAATTTGGTGATTTTGGGGGGGATTTTAGCGAATTTTGGGGGCGGATTTGGGATTTTTCCCAATTTTTTGGGGGGAAAATTTGGGGGGAAATTTGGGATATTGGGGGGATTTTGAATTTTGGGGGCATTTGGGAGGGGGTTTTGGGGGGCGTTTGGGGTTTTTTGGAGCGTTTTGGGATTTATGGGAGAGATTTGGAGATTTTTAGGGGGTCCCAGGAGGGTTTTGGGGTGTCTTCAGGGGGAATTTCGGGGGATTTTAGGCAGATTTGGGGTCCCGAGCAGTTTTTGGGTGATTTTGGGGGATTGTTTTGGGGGGGCCCAGAAGATTTTGGGGAGATTTGGGGGATTTTGAGGGGGTCCCAGGAGGATTTTGGGTGGATTTTGTGGGTTCTGAGTGGGATTTTGGGCGGTCCTGAAAGGGATTTTGGGATTTTGGGGTCATGGAAGGGATTTTGGGGCGGTTTTGGGGTCTCTGAGGGAATTTTTGGGGGCATTTTGGGGCGATTTGGGGTCTCTGAGGGGATTTTGGGGCAAATTTGGGTGTTCTGAGTGGATTTTGGGGTCTTGAAAGGAATTTTTTTGTCATTTGAGGTTTCTGGGGGGATTTTGGAGTCCTTGAAGTGATTTGGGGATTTTTTTGGGTGGTCTCTGAGGGGATTTTTGGGCGATTTGGGGGCTCTGAAGGGATTTTAGGGGATTTCAGATTTCTGAGGGGCTTTTGGAGCTCTGAGAGCATTTTGGGCGAATTTTTGGGATTTCTGAAGAGATTTTTAAGGGGAATTTGGGACTCTGAGGGCATTTTTGGGCTCCTGGAAGAGATTTTGGGGCGATTTTGTGAGTTCTGAGGGGATTTTAAGGGTCCTAAAAGGGATTTTGGGGCGATTTTCGGGGGGTTTGGGGGCGCCCTCAGTGAATTCGCGGCCGTGTCTCGGGGATCCCTGCCTCTGATTGGTTCCCCGGGGCGCCTCCGGACCAATCAGAAGCCGTCGCTGGGCAGATTTCCCCCGCCCAAGGGCGCTCTTCCCGCACACGGTGCTGATTGGTTGCCGCCCTTTTCTCTCGACCAATCAGCGGCCGCTGTTGAGGAGGAGGCGGGAAACTGCGGATTTGGGTTTATTTTAATTAATTTTTAAATTATAATTAATTGATTTGGGATTTTATGGCTATTTTGATTCCCTTTTTTGGCGTTTGGTTTGTTTAGTTTAATTGGATGCAATTGCAGTTTTATTTCGGTTTATTGGAGTTTGTTTAGTGTAATTAAATTAATTTCAAGTAATATAAACTTATTTTCAATTAGGACAAATTTTAATTTTTCTAATTATTTATTTCAATTAATATGAATTTATAATTTTTCCAATAAAAGTATTATTGCAATTAATGAAAGCCTATTAATATGTTTTATTCGTTTAAAAAAAAATTATTTATTTTATGAATAAATTATTATAAATTTTCTCAATCAATAAAAACCTATAAATGTATTTTATTGTTTCAAATTAATATCCATTTATAAATGTTTGAATTAAAAATTTTCTTCAATTACTAAAGCAGATTAATTTATTGCAATAATTTCCATGAATATAAGTTGATACATTTTATAAAAAAATCAATAAAATTTTTAATTAATAAAGATATACCTATTTATTATATTTATTCCGATTATCATAAATTAATAAATTCTACCAATATAAATTTGTATTTTTATTTATTAAAAATCTAAATATTGTTATAAATTAATTTCTCTCAATATCAATTTTCTAATAATTCAATTTCCTATAAATTTATTTTTCATTTTTTATAATAAGAAATCATTGATAAGATTAAAATTTAATTAAAAAATAAAATCTAAATAACTTAAATTAAATTAAATTAAATTAAATTAAATTCCTCTTCTTGTATTTTATCAAATTTTGGGATTTAATTCCTGGATTTTCATCCGTTCCTTGAATTAATTTTATTTAATTCAATTTATTTCAATTAATCTCCTTTATTTGTTTTTCATTCCTCTGCTTTAATTGATTTTTATTTCTCTTTTCCCCCCATTTCCTCCTTAATTTGCATCAATTTCCTGCCTCTGTTTTTGCCGTTTTCTATTTTTATAAATTTATTTTCATTCCCTTTTTTCAATTGTTAATCTTGCCCTTTCTTTCCGATTGAATTCAATTTTTTATTTTAAAAATACAAATTATTAATTCCACTTATTTCCTATAATATTTCTTTTATTTCATTTTTATTTCATTGGTTTTTTTCTGATTACTCTTTTGCTCCCATTCTTTTTTAATCGTATTTTATTTTATTTTATTTTATTTTATTTTGTTCGATTTTATTCTATTCTATTCTATTTTATTTTAATTTTTTATTTTATTTTATTTTATTTTATTTTATTTTATTTCATTTTATTTTATTTTATTGTTTTTTTTTTCTTTTCCTGTCTTTTATTTTTCTTTTTTTCCTCTTTTAGTTTAATTTAATTTTTATTTTATTTTATTTTATTTTATTTTGTTCGATTTTATTCTATTCTATTCTATTTTATTCTATTTTATTTTATTTATTTTAATTTCATTTCAATTTAATTCTAGATTAAATTTTGGTTTCTTTGAAATTCAAAATTTTTAAAATTTAAATTAATGATTTCATTTTAATTTTCATTCAAATTCATTTTAATTTTAAAATTTTCAAAATCCATTCATAGAAATAAGAATAAAGAATACGCCTTAATGAATAAAAACAAATAAAAATAAATTTTTTGTGATTAATAAAAATAATAAAAATAAATCTTAATAAATTCAATTGAATCAAAATGCAAATAATGATAAACGAATAGATTTTAATAAAATAAAATAAAATAAAAGCAACATTAATTATATTGAATTATTTTATTTTATTTCACTGAATTTTCTATTAAATTTTGAATTTTTTTCAATTTTCCATTTATTTCATTACAATTCTTTTATTCCCTTTAATTCCATTTTCTTTCATTGATCCCCAAAGGGAAAAAACGAAAATAACGAAGAAAACCCAGAAGAAAATGGAATTCTTGATTTTTGATTGAAACAATATTAATTAATAGCGATTAATAAACGGTCATTGACTTTAATCGATGTTAATAAAGATTAGAAAGGAAGGAACCTGGCAAAATATTAAAATAAGAAATAAAAACAATAGAAATAAAAGCAATAAAAATAAAAATAAAATAAAATAAAATAAAATAAATGAAAACAATATAAAATAAAATAAAATAAAATAAAATAAAATAAAATAAAAAATGATATTTTTTTTTTTAGTATTATTATCAAAAATATATAAATAAAAAATATTGTCATTCATAAACCTCAAATAAACAAAGTTAACAAATAATTGATGGAAGTAATTAATTAAAAATATAATTTAAAAAATAAAAAAAATATAAAATAAAAAAATATTTTATTGTTTTAGTATTATAATATTAATATTAATATTAATATAAAAATAAAAATATAAATTAAAACTATTGTCATTAATAAACCTCCAATAAACAAAATTAACAAATTAATGATGGAAGTAATTAACTAAAAATAGAATTAAAAAAAATAAAATAAAATAAATTTACTTTCAATTAAAATTCATTTAAATTGAAAATAATTTAATTTACTAAAACTTCCTTAAATAAAAAGGAAATAAAACAAAATAAAACTTCAAATCAATTAAATTAAATGAAAATAAACTCAATAAAAAAAAATAAAATAAAAAAAATAAAATAAAATAAATTGACTTTAAATTAAAATTCATTTACATTGAAAATAATTATATTTACTGAAACTTTGTTAAATAGAAATGAAATAAAACAAAATAAAACTTCAAATCAATTAAATTAAACTAAAATAAACTCAATAAAAATAAAATAAAATAAAAAATAAAAAACAATAAATTGACTTTAAATTTAAATTCATTTAAATTTAAAATAATTTAATTTACTGAAACT